TATATATATATATATATATATATATATATATATATATATATATATATATATATATATATATATATATATATATATATTCATACAATATTCTGATATGCATGTTGGAAATGATAACAATAAAATAAAGATAAAATAATAAAAGTATAATAATACTTTATTTATTTATTTATTAATATTAAAATATGCATGGCAAACTGAATTTATATCAATATAATGTTCTGATAGGACAGGTGGTTTTAAGGGTAGTGGGTGCTAATGTAATACAGTTTTGATAAAACCAAGAGAAAATCAAATTTAATGACACTTTTGTGTTAAAAACATTACCATGATTAATTATCTGATTAATTTCAAAGTGCAAATGCTGCTATTTCGAAAAAAATAGGGGCAAATAAAGTCATTAGTAGTGTTGTCACGGTACCAAATTTTCAGTATTCGGTACCAATACCAGTGAAAATCCACGGTTCTCGGTACCAAAGCAAAACACAAAAACATGCTAATTAAAAAAATTGACTATACTTTCATTGAATCCAAACTGTGTACATACTTAATTTTAAAGGGTTTTTAAAACCTTCTAGAGATATTTAGCCAAGAATAACAACGATTTTTGAGAGTGCGCGGGCTATTTTTTTATTCTTTATTTTTACTCTTTGTGAATTAATCACATCCAAAATAAATGTTTGTGTTTACATAATATATGTGTGTGTGTGTGTGTACTGTGTTTATATCTCTCTCTCTCTCTCACTTTAATTTGGGATGCGAATAATCGCGATTAATCGTTTGACAGCACTACTTTATATCTAAATGTAAACAACTGTAAGTGCTTTCAATAGACCTTTATGGTACCAAAGCAAAACACAAAAACATGCTAATTAAAAAAATTGACTATACTTTCATTGAATCCAAACTGTGTACATACTTAATTTTAAAGGGTTTTTAAAACCTTCTAGAGATATTTAGCCAAGAATAACAACTAAGTTAGCTAAAAATAAAAAAAGCCCAGAACTGCTTTTCTGACTGATATGACACAAACAATGTTAACCAGTTGTACATTCTCTAACACGCATATTTTAGATTCACAATTCATTTAAAAGCCTCTGGTGTGTAAAAATAGTAAATATCATCATGTCCTCCTGTTTTTTTAACCCTAATAAAAGTTATAGGAGCATTAAATAGTTAATAAAGAAACTTCATTCTAATGCTCATTATATTAGCGTTAGCCGTGCTTATGCTAACGATTAACTACTCTAATAACAGTGATGTTCCTTTCAATCCGACATTCAAATTAAAATATTGAATAATATTCAAAACAGAAGCGGTGTTTCCCACAGACTTTCACTCTATTTGTGGCGGCATATATATGCAAATTCATTCTCTGCCAGCAGGAGGCGCTCGTAGAGCGGGAGCGATAGAGGTTTCTCCAGTAACGGCTGTAATCAAATAAGCGCTGCGCTCACAAACGCTGCTCAGGCATTACAGGCAAGATGAAATGAAAATGACATCCATAATTTTCTGAAGACAGTCGGTTTCCTTCAGAAATGCAGTGATATAAAAACCCCCGTACCGGGTTTCGACTTTGACACGTGCAGTGCTCATGTTTATTCAACAAAGTCAAAGCCTTTTGGAAAATCTATTTGTGGCTGTGAGTTTTGATTTTGTGGCGGGCCATTTTTTTCAAATTTTTTTAGTACCGACTTGGTACCGAAGTACCGGATCTTTTGACAACACTAGTCATTAGTCTTTTAAGTCCCATTATATAGCAGCAGGAACTCACATATATGTAGCGTCTGGCTCCAGACAGCGTATGATCAAGGAGATAGAGGAGAGGGGATCCGGGATGTCCCCGAGCATCACACACGGAGATTTGGCCCCTGACATGATGTCATCCACGAAACTCAACATGGTCTCTGTGAAAAGGAGAAGACTTTGTTTAGCACACACACACACACATATATATAAACACAAGTTTACAGGACCTAATAACCCGTTTTGATCTCCTATGTTTTTAGGCCAACAAACCATTTAAAACAAACTGTTTGTTTGTTTAGTTTTAAGTGTCTCTAATCAAGTATGATTAATGATATGTCATTAGGAGACAACCATGCATGCGCAGGGAAAACAAACATCAGCAAAACAGCCCCATCTTCACAGGAAAGCCTCCGCAATGGGAACACAGGACGCTGTTTTGCATGAGGATTTCCCTCACCCTGAAAACCCCTGCCTGATTCTGACCCAGTGCTATGAAAACAAGTGTTTCCCTACTTCCCCTGGTCAGTGGAACACGCTAGAACCTTCCAGAGATGGAGACCCTGTGGTTTGGACATTTCGACCGGAGAAGATGTCAGTGGTTTGATTTCACACGAGACGCGTGACCCAGATCGAGCTATGAGTGTCTGCCATCTAAAACCAAATAAAGAGCCCATACAGAAGTAACCTGTGGAGCTGATGTGTTTTGCCTTTCTTATTAAGAAGTGGACGGGAAGACTGTTTGCCCAGGTGGCCTGCATGCGTCACAGGACATGAGCACGGGGGCCTCGTGTGCCTTTCATAGCAAAGAGAAACCTCCCATCTGTGGATGGGGAACCTTTTAAAAGTGGTGGTAACCCTGCTTGTCTTCCTGGAGGCTTCCTCTTCAAAAATACCAGGCTTCTGAGAACACGATGCCAGGATAAACGCGGAGGGGATAAGAGTGTGTGTGATTATGTGCTTGCTGTCACCAGTAAGTATTTACAGTGCTTGTGGAGTAGAGAGTCGAGGAACACGTGCGCTGACGTTAATGAAAAGTGACATTGTGAGGGACTGCAGCAGTTCAGGTCATATTTATCCAGTCAAACACAGTTCCACCAACAACAAGCTCTAACATCTCTATTTTATGTCGAAAAAAGGTGAAATGTTGCAAAAAGGCAATAAACTTTGATGTGTGTGGAAAATTTTGCAAGTGTGTTTTTATGAGATATAAATTGTGTACCATTTATGAACTGAGGAGCACATGATGTTTTAAGATTATTTATGGGGGACTTTTTTGTGGGAATACTGAAAGGCAACAGTGGAGTAGGAAGTGTATTGGCTGCTCACTGGTTTTTTTTTTTCTTACCATGTTAAAATAATTACATTTATATGGAAGCCCATTTCTGCCACAGGATAAAATAATTAAAAAGGTCATTGTGACTTTTTATCTCATAATTTGGATTTACATCTCAAAAGATTCTGCTTTGCTATTTGCTGATTTTAGTTTCCGACATAAAATAAATAATACAAAATATAATTGTGAGTTAACATCTTGCAATTCTGACTTTGTATCTCACAATTTACCTCTCACCAATCTGAGTATATTTCTCACAATTCTGAGTTTTTTCTTTGAGTTGTGAGAAAAAAGTTTGAACTATGAGATAAAAAGTCACAAATACCTTTTATTGGGCTTTCAATAATTTAATTTAATTTAATTTAAAGGGGTGGTTCATTGCGATTTCACTTTTTTAACGTTAGTTAGTGTGTAATGTTGCTGTCTGAGCATAAACAATATCTGCAAAGCTATGAAGCTGAAAGTTCAATGCAAACTGAGATATCCTCTTTTAAAATTCTGGCAGTTTAATGCCTACAAAAACGGCTGGTAGGGACTACAACAAGTTACTTCCCGGGTTCGTGACATCACAAACCCAGATAAACCCCGCCCTCGGGAAAAGGCAGGAAAGGGGGCGAGGCCATGCTGCGCTGCTTTACAGAAGAGGAAGAGAAATCTAGATGTGCAGGTAAAAATCTATTCATACATGAATCGCGATTCTGTCTTCTAAAGATTCTAATGGATTCACAAATTTCAAAATCAATGTTCTAAAGCAGTGGTTCTCAATTCTGTTCCTCGCGTTCCCCTGCTCTGCACACGCTCTGCCTCTCTCTCTCTCTCTCTCTCTCTCTTGTGTGCGCATGCGTGGGCGTTTGCTGAGTGAGTGGAGTGTGAATCAGAGCGAGACTGTGGAGTCCTTTCCCATTTCAAAGGTCTGTTTACTTAAGTGTTGTTTCTCTCACTGGTTTTATTTAAGCTTTTTTACTGTGTACGGTCACAAAGCACTGAAAATATTGTGGTGGGGGGTTGTGTAGCCAGTGGCTACCATGGCGAATGCGGAGATGGAGAGTTATGAGCAACTCACCCGGCAGCATGGAATAAAAGTGCCGGTTGGAGTTGAGTGCTCGGTTGAAGAATGTGTGTTAGTGGTAGGAGAGGTGGTTGGTCACAGTAGTATTCGTTCGGCGTCTCGAATGAACGGTGCTGTGGTGTTATTTTTGGACAAAGTTGAAAAAGTGAACACAGTAGTTGAAAATGGGATAGTCCTCAATGGTAGTTTGATTAAGGTTTTCCCACTTGTTAATCCAGCAAGAAAAGTGTTGCTTTCTAATGTGCCCCCATTTATTAGTGATGAAGCACTGAAACGCAAATTATCTCATTATGGACAGTTGGTTTCTGCGATTAAGAAAATCCCCCTAGGCTGCAAATCTCCATTGTTGAAGCACGTTGTGTCTTTCCGCAGACAAGTGCATATGATTTTGAGGAGTGATATTGATGAACTGAATATTACTTTTAAATTTAAAGTTGATAGTTTTGATTATCTAATCTTTGTAACAACTGAGAGCATGAAATGCTTTGGATGCCGGAAGGTGGGCCATTTGGTACGCGCTTGTCCAGAAAGAAACGCGTCAAAGGTTTCAGATGTTGAAAGTGGGTCTAATAAAGGTCAGAGTGTGGAAAAAGAAAGCGAAGTTGGTGAGGTTTCGGATTTGAGTGTGGACAAAGAAGATCTAGGAAGTGGAGTAAAGAATAGTGAGAAACGAATTTAAAAAATGATGAGACAATGGATATTGTTTTTGATGAGATAGAGGGTGAAATACTTAAAGAGGATGAAGAGGTATTTAAAGTGCCGGCAGTGAAGAGGAAGTCGAATCTTTGTGAGATGGAAAATACATCAAAGAAAAAGGCACATGATGAGATTGTTACTGAAAGTTCTGAGGGAGTTTTGAATGTAAGTGAGGTGTCTGGCTCAGAAAGTTAGCGAGATTGTTCTGAAGTGGAAGTTGGGGGAAATATGAGTAAAGATTATAGTGGTTACAGTTTGGAAAGAATGAAACAGTTTCTGCAGCGTACAAAAGGAATGAGGAATGTGGAGGTTATAGATTTTTTTCCTGATCTTTCGTTATTCATTGACTCAGCAAAGATTCTTATGAAACAGAAAGGTGAAATATGTTTGTCAAACCCTGAGGTGTATCTTTTAAAAAGATTGTACAAAAGGTGCGTCCTCAGACAATGCATAATGATATGTCACAAGAATAATGGAGTAATGTGGATTTGATTTTTTGTGCTTTTTTCATCCCTCATAACGAGTAATTTTAAAATATCTTCCCTGAATGTAAATGGGGCGAGGGATGTAAGCAAAAGAGCGCAAGTTTATGAGTTAATGAAACTAAAAAATATAGATGTTATGTTTTTGCAAGAGACTCACAGCACAAAGGAAAATGAAGTTGAATGGATGAAGGAGTGGGAAGGAAAGATTGTTTTGAGTCATAAGACTGCTCTTAGTGCTGGGGTGGCTGTTTTGTTCTCAAAGACCTGCCTACCAATATCTTATGATGTTATTGAAGTAATACAAGGCCGTTTAATTAAGATAATAGCAAAGTTTGAAAATGTTACTATGGAATTGATAAATGTTTATGCTCCTGTAAAGTCAATGGAAAGAATGTTGTTTCTTGAAACTTTATGTGGTAGTTTGAAACAATGTCATATGGAACGTTTTCTAGTACTGGGTGGGGATTTTAACTGTACAAGCAATGATTTAGATATAAATCACATTGAACCTCATATGGCATCAAAAAACAAATTATTAAATATGATTAAAACTTTGCAACTTTGTGATGTATGGAGGAATTTTCATTGTAACGAAAGACAATATACATAGATGCCCATTTTTGAAAGAAAATGTTTTTCTTTCTTTTGGTTGGGGTGGAAATCTAAAAAGTCTTCTTTTACATCAATACAACAGTGGTGGGATATTGGGAAGGTGCAGATACAAAAACTCTGTAATCAGTACACTTTTAATGTTACTAGAGACATGGTTCAATCCATAAGAAGTCTAGAGATGGATATAGTGGAACTTCAGACTTTAAATGGAGCCACTGCAAATTCAAAACCAATGGCGGGCTTTAAAGGAAAAAAAAGCAACATTAGCAGATCTATTAGGTACAAGGTCTCAGGGGGCATTGGTTAGATCTAGATTTCAGAGTCTTTCTGAAATGGATGCCCCGTCAAAGTTCTTTTTCAGTTTGGAAAGGAAAAATGGCCAAAGAAAAAGTATTCAGTTTTTATGGTCAGAAGATGGAAAAGTTCTTACTGAGGTTTCTGACATTCGTAAAAGGGCTGACAGTTTTTATAAGGCGCTGTATACCCGCAGATTTGTGGATGGCCAGTTAATGGCTGAATTTGTGGCAGATCATCTTCCAAAAGTGAATGAGGATTCAAATGCAAAATTGGTATGCCCCTTAACAATAGAGGACGTTTTTAATGCTTTGCAGAGTATGAAAAATGGTAAAGCACCAGGATTAGATGGGCTGCCTGTTGAATTTTATAAGGCATATTGGCATTTGTTAGGAGAAGATCTACTTGCTGTTTTAAGTGATAGTTTGGATAAAGGACAACTGCCACTAAGTTGCAGAAGAGCGGTTTTAACTTTGCTCCCTAAGAAAGGTGATCTCAAAGAGATAAAAAACTGGAGACCAGTTTCTTTACTATGCACTGATTATAAGATGCTATCAAAAGCTTTGGCAAACAGACTGAAGGAGGTAATTGGACAGGTTATACATTTAGATCAATCTTATTGTGTACCTAATAGATCAATAGTGGATAATATATCCTTGATTCGGGATGTGTTGGAAGTCTCAAGACTCTTTGAAAAAAAATGTGGTCTAATTTCCTTAGATCAAGAGAAGGCGTTTGATCGGGTGGATCATCAGTTTTTATGGTATATTTTTGAAACTTTTGGTTTTCCACCTGCTTTCACTGCCTTTATTAAAGTGCTTTATGAGGATATTGAAAGTGTACTGAAAATCAATGGTGGTTTGAGTAGCCCTTTTAAAATACAAAGGGGGATTAGACAAGGATGCGCCTTGTCATGTATGCTTTATTCAATAGCAATAGAACCCATGCTAAATAAAATTAGGACTCATTTAGATGGTTTTAGATATGAGAGTACTTTTCCACCCATTAAACTATCAGCTTATGCAGATGATGTATTGGTTGTAACCAGTGGACAGGATGATATTGATAAACTGGTTGATATTGTTA